TTCAATGTACTAGGTGAAACTCCCACTGTCCTATTACCGTCTAACTCCCATCCCTCTGCTCTACAATTCCTCATGGTTAAGATCAGCCGAGGCACTCGTTAGAAGTGCCCCATATTGGTTACTTAAGGACTGTAGGCACCTGCGAGACATTGTCTATGGAGGGCTGTAGCTGGTCTGAACAACTAAACTTTCCCCTTGGAAGAAAAGAGTACAAGACTTACTGTGCGGGCCGGATAGAGTGGCCTGGCAGGCCGCAATCAGCCCGGGGGCTGCATTTTGGCTGATATCACTATGTTGGAGGCATCTTATGAATGGGGAGATTCTGCAAAAGCAGTTACTGGGTTTAGCTGCTCAAATCCTGGTGGGTTTCAATGGGACTCGTTTCTAAATCTTTCAGGCTTTTTGAAAAATCCTCTTCTAAAATAATCATTTTCCTGCTATATTAAGAATTCCATTAAATCCAAAGACATCAAATGCTAACCATTTTATCCTTGTGGCACATCAGGAAAGAGCATCTATTTAAAGCTGAAAGAATGCCATTTTAAGCACACAGTTATAGATGTAGGCACGTATCCTTCCAGGTATTAAACCCACGTTGATAAAAATAATTTGGCTCTATGCAATAGAAACACCAAGAAACATTTTTAAGAGGTCTTATTTACAACAACATTCTTTAATACTCTTAATTATAAAGACAAAATTAATGCTTGAATGCTGCATGAATAATAGAGTCTATACTTTATACTTAAATATCTCAAAGCTATTGTGTTTTGCAAAATGAAAAAGATATATATCTACATATATATCTATATCTCTATATATATAGCCTATGGTTACTTGCCAGTTGGTTCCATATAAAGAATCAATACAATATATCAAAATATTTATTAAACATCGCTTAGTACAATAGGCTTTTACATAGCCATCCATTATATTCGTGTTATTTGTCACAGTGACTTCATCTGCAACAAAATCTTGTTCAAAAAAAAAAAAAAAAAAAAGAAAGAAAAAAATATATATTACACTAATACAGATAGTGTTGATGTTAGAAAGTTTGGTCACATAATACACAAGATACTCCAGGTCCACTATGGCTGGAGAGCTCCAATATCTTCTAGACGGTAAACAAGGCGTTATCAGTGCATTAAACTCAGTTCGGTCGGTAACAACAATTTGGCAGATCAAGAGAAAAAGCAGGACCCAAGTCAGTCTATGGAGTAACTACTGCTTATGCTCAAGTCTTTCCTCCCTAACCCAGGGAGCAATACTGTGCGTGGTCAATCAATCAACTCTGTTCCGGGCAGCGATTAAGGCTTTAATTCAGCAAAACGTATCCGCGCAACTCAGATTTGAACACACGTGAAAAAGTCCATCCTTACTCAGCAAGGCACATCAGCACCTATTCACAGCCCCATGCCATGGCACGTACATGATCTTAAGAGCTTTGCAAGAAAGGGATGATCTTAAGAACATGCTGATAAAGTTTTGCTTCAGTGCCTTCCTGAGCTGGGGCCAAAATAATTTAAACCGAAACAAATTACACGCTTGCAGTCTCCAAACAAGCTGCCCGATTTGTGTTCAATGGCTTTGAAACACACGCGCAGAACTGGCAGGTTGTGCTGTAGAGATCTGCATCCCCTTAACTTTATGTGTGACCAAGTTAATCTACAAAACCTGCAATGACTGAAACAATGCAGCTGGCTCCAGCAAGTGAAAGCAGTGATTTTCCAAGTCACTTAGCAGGTTAAGCCTCAATCCTACCTAAAACTGATAACCTACCCAATGTAGGCCCAGCCTGGAAGCTGTCTTCCAGTCACTGAGGCTCTGCATAAGCGTCCACTTGACTGAAGTGCCACTGACCTTGTGGGCTAGTGTTTGCTTTATCTAGCCGCACAATTCAACATGGGGAAGCTCTGTGGTCACACTCCCCTGGCTGGCTTTCAAAACCTCAAATGAAGCGTGCTCTGGTAGGAACAGGCATGGAAATCACACTTGTGGGGCTAGCTTAGTAAACAGGTGGCAAAATGCTGGATGAGCCAATCATCGGAGTGTTGCTAAGATGTGAATTTTGCTTTAATATTTATGTTTAACAGCTCAGTAAATAACAATGTAACAAGAAGAACAAAAAGCATGCACACCAGTGATCCTGTCCTTAGTATCCAAGAAAAAAAACGTAATCTCAGAACATGAAAGACTGGTGACTGAGAAGAATCAGGCACTTAGCAGCAGTAGCCAGTGGCATGCAATTTTATACATTTGATAACTATAATTATTTCCATGCTACAGAGTCAGACCAGATGAGGGTTAAAGGGAGGTTCTGTGGTCTGGCCCTCCCTTTAAACACCGTCTGTGGCATTTGCCAGTCTGTGGCTCTAGGATCTATCGGCCTTATTTACAACCCTTTACTTGACTCGCAGGATTGATCGTCCTGGACCGAGAGGGATATAGAGTCCGCTCTGTGTTATTACATTTGACTTTCAATCAAAATAGGGAACATTCCCCACGTGTAATGTTGGTACACAAAACGCTTCACTCCGCATTTCATCCATATAAAAAGGTACATTTGAGAAAATCTATGAATTAAGAAAAAAATTGTATCTACGGTACCACTGCGGCAAAGAGCTCAGGATCAGTATTAGAAGTGAAGAGCATAGATTTTAAAACGTTCAAGCTTTTAATACAGGTGGCTAAAGTGCAGTTATCAGGCGAATGACAAAACCGATGCTGTGGGATATTGTATTTAAGCTCCCATTGTATCTTACCTGACATCAATGTGAACTTTCTTGCTTTCTCCTTCCATCAGTAAAGGAAAAAAAAAAACAACACCTTACAGCTGTTTTAACCAGGTTAAACAGAAGCAGAGAATTTAAAAAGTCCCCGGTCTGGAATTTGCACTGTACAGGTGGAGCTCCAGTGAAGTCAAGGGACTACTTCACTTGTCCATTGAAAAGTAAAGGCAGGGACCCAGCAATAAAAAGGAGGAAGGGACCCCAGCTGCACAGGTCTTTTGAAGAAAAATGTGCCACTGCTTAGTGATGTCTTGGGCAATCACTATACCTTCAAGAAAAAAAACCCCTCTTCCAATGACAGAGTGCTCCACCTGATCACTCATCTGCCATGAGATGCCAAAATCATTACAAAAATTAGTACTGAGATGCATTTAAACAAAGCATTGCTGTCACACTGTTGAGTACAATGCAAAGAGAGGGGTGATGATTGTCAAAAAGGCTGACAGCAGTGGGAGGTTTGGGCTGCTGTTTGCATGTTTTACTTTTGTTAAGGTGCCTAAATGCACATGGAGTAGTGTAAGTTCGGGGCTCCTATTTTGGAAAATCTTGGCTGATCACATTAGCTTGATGCCTGAAAACACCCACAAGCTGTTGGCAACTAGATGTTGCCAACAAGAAAATTTCAACCCCAAATCAACTGAGTTTCCAGCACGTATTTTTTTTAGCCAAGCAGCAAACAGAAAATTTTTAGAACTGAGAAATAACACTGTCATAAAATAGTATTTTTACCATTGTGTACTTTCCACAGGCCAAGTCAGCAAACACTGTATTTCACGGTTAAATAAAACCTCAGACGTAACCTAATCATATGGATGTATTGGCAAGGTTTAAAACCATGTATCTAATGAAAATCTCAATCCAGAGGTGCCTCTATTTGCATGTAATTTCTACTGGCATCAATCAGAATTCTGTGTGCAGAGGAACAGGAGGATACAGTATATAAGCAAGAAATCCAACAGACATCTAAAAAGTCAGTCGGCTCAGGGGGAGCTAATATACTCAGCCACAGATTACTTCAATACTGTTACAACTGGAGGCAGATTTTGAGTTCTGAGTTAGGCTACTTGCTTTTCTCTCTGCATTGGTAAAGTAAGGGCACTGGTAATAGTGGGTAACGTGCATGACAGAGGTAGATTTGCAAGTGATAATTCTATTGCATATTCTGAATTCATACTCGGTGCTCTGAAAAGGAAGATTTCGCTTTCTCTGAACACTTGCTGGTTATGCATCTCTTCATGTGAGAGCTGAAAGACAAGAACATCCCCTATCCCCTAAAGACGTGTCCTGGAGATGACTAATACTGTTAGTCAACACGAATCGCTGCCTTCCAGAAAGACCTACTTGAAATATTCCTTTTGAAGACTGGCTTCAACCTGCCATGTCCTCCCATCATTGCAAATCCAGTCTCTGCTGAGTTGCATTCAAAAAATCCTGGCTCCTGATATAAAGCATGTGAGCTGTATTGGCAGAGAAGTCTAAAGTTCCTGGTATTCTCTCTAAGGCCGAGGTTCTCATACCGTGGTCTGTGGATGGACCGTGGACTGGTCACCTGGTGATAGCTGTCAAGGCTTTTTCACAGACAGCTACAAGGGACCATGGTGCTTGGCTATCCTGGCATTTTGTAAAACACTGGCCTCAGAGTTAAAAGTCCCCAGCCTTTACACTTGAATTCAAAGGCTACTCACTCCTTCCCTAAGAAACGCTGGCCCTAATTTTTTCTTTACATAAAAGTAACTGCCACAGGGATGTTTTGGGCTCAGATGAGACAGCAAGGTGCTCCATGGTACTCTTTTTAAGGTGCAGTCCACACTGGAGTTTGACATCTGCTCTAAACATCATTGACAATAAATGCCTCTTTGCTCCTCTTTGTCACACAGGACAGAAACAAGTAGCAATGGCAACAGGCACATCCCAAATTACAGTGGAAAGATACGTCTCTATTTTGTAAGTCTGCGGTGAAGGCCATCTGGGGCTCGCGCCACTTAGAATTAATGATATAAAAAGAGTAAAACTCTACCCTGACATTTTCAAATATCAGGTGTATTAGCTGTAAGGTAGTGCTTCCCAACACATCCATAATTATATTTTATTATTTATAATTAGAGACATAAACATCTAACGTACATTCTTTAGGTAGTGGCAAACTCCTGGTGGGGGAAAAGTGCATATTTTGGCTACTCAAAGTGAAAGTATAAGCCATTTCCCAATATATTTTTTTTTTAAATGAAAGGTATAAAACCCCAAGCAGCAGCAAAAAACTGATGCGGACAGATTTTTAAATACCCTTGATACCCTGACAAACTGATTTAACACAATCCAAAGAGCCATGTGCTAACTTGTTTCTCACAAGTGCACAGGTTGATCAGCATGGTTCTTCAAGCATCTTATACAAACATCTCATCAAGAAACTGGCTTTTAGCCCATGGCAGCTGCTGTGGGCACACAGACAAGTCTCAAACACAGAGCCCCCAAATTCTGCAAGGCAAAAAATAAGGCCACCAAAACAAAGTCTTTTTTTTGTTTGTTTGTTTTAAATATTAAGTAGCTGGAAGGCCCCGGCAACTGCTAATGTGCTCGACATGCTGCAGGTACAAAGTAGATGCTCCTACGCAAGTGGCTTGCAGCATGCATTCAGCAGAGCAAATGCTCAACTGCTCCTTAGGGCAGGAGGTGATGAAAAGGATCCAAATGCAGCATGCAGAGGCAATATGAGCTCTTGGGGAGTTTTGACAGTAGGAGCTTCTGTTAGTTGTGGTTTTAAAACGGATCTCAAGCCTCTTCATGGACAATTCAGGTAATTCTGAAGCCTGATTCTGCAAAGCATTTTCTTAGGTTTAAGTGTCTGTTTAAGTCTCTCTGGCTGTGTCTACACTGCAGAGTAGGCTAATTAGCTGCGCAGTAAATGTCTTGTGTCTACATGTGCAGCCTGATTAGACCACAGGAAACTAATCAACTCTGCAGCAGAGTAGTACTCATAAATAGAAGCACTACCTTGGTGCAGAGGTTTTTTTCATGCACAGCAATACATGTGTAGATGCTGACACAGCTGGACAGGGCACGAAGATGCTTCAGTGCATGGGCTGCATGCCAGCTAGCCCCATACTGGAGCACCCTTGTGCCCCAGCCAGCCCCTCTGCAGCACACTGAGCTGGGGTGGAGCAGCCCCGGGCTGGTAGGCTGACTCCTCAGGCCTCTTGCCAGCTGGGGCTGCTGTGACCTGGCTCAGAGTGCTGCCATCCCAGGTGCATGTGTAAATGCGGCACACGGGAATAATAAACTCTGGCGTGATAACTGCAAAGTTTATTTTTTCACCTCAATAGCACATGCAGATGCACCTGCTGACTTCAATGGGATGTAAGCATCGCCCCTGAATCATGGCCTTGGTTTGGTTTAACTTCAAGAACCAGCTCATGACATGCCTGTCCAAACCTCAATTAAAGATCCATGTATTAGTCGTACTACAGAAGGCCCTGAGGGTGCACAGGTAATTGTAAACAGAGATAAACATGCAAGAATGAAGAGCCAATTTTAGTTACTACAGACCGTATCTTACAGGCCCTCCATCCATTTTTTAAGAAGTCAAAACAAAAAAAAAGAACATACCAGAACTGTGCAGATCTTCCAAGCAGCTGCACTGGGCATACCCATGCCCTGCTGCTCTAAAAATCTCTGTAGGCCCGTGTTGAATTAATGTACAAAGGTAGTGGCATTTCCAAAATAGCACAGGTAATTCCTGTGTTACATTAATGTATAGGACAGTGGTCCCAGCCTGTTGCTGCCCTCTGATGTTGCTCATAGACACAGGATGTTAAAAGGTAAAACTGAGGCTGTCACCACTATAGCCCTGGTGGATGGGGAGAGCAAAATATGAAGTCTGCAGCCTGTTACTTGCTTAGTTTTGTTGCTCACGGGCCAAAGGTTGTGGGCTACTTCCGTACCATGTAAGAGAATACAGGAGGACATACAACCCTTAGAATAATATTAGAGGACGAGTCATAGAGTGAGTGGCTGAGAGGCTCTAGGCACTTCCTGAATCTCTCTGCAGTTGAGAGGGCCAAAATCACGGCCACAAATTTGTGGCACATTTTGATAAATCCTATTGATTCAGCTAGATCATTTCCCTTTACAAGGGAGGACCAGCTGCAGAAATATAGGGGATCTCTTACCCTGACAGGTACATAGTAGGTGGGTTACTGTGATGGAAGAGAGCCATAAGGAGCTGGCCCAAACTTCCCAGCTGGTGGCTGCATCAAAGAAAGATCACAAACAAGTGATCTGAAGCATTACCAATTATGCTGAGATGACCAAACAGAGGCCTGATTTTTTCAGAACTGAGGAGCCCCCCTTGCTCCAAAAGACAGGGGGCTGATAGGTGCTTAGGATGTCTGGGTGATAATTTTTTAAGAGATGTAAAATATGGAAGGAGCCAAGAATAGAAATTGTTTGTCCATGTAAAGGCTAGACCCATTTGTGGGTATGGAATGCTATTTGGGAAATGAGAGACAGAAAATAAGAAGCATGAGAATTAATAAGGATTTGCTTGGGTTAGGCAGAGCAATCAAAAATGACCTTCTGCATTCTCATGATGTGTTGCTAGTCAGTCACGACTCGGGACAGATTTCCAGTTTCCTCACCTTTGTGCGAAGACATTAGCAAGAACATTTAAATGCAACAACTTTCGAAATGATCCCTGAGGGATATGACTGATGTGCTTTCTCTGCAGGTGGAGTTGGAAGACTCCTCATGGCATGTCTGCCCATCTCTGGATGAAAGGAAAATGGAAACCTGTTGCATTTTGGCAGAATTGCACCATGCACCCTGTCGCCCTTACTGAATAGAAACAGCAGAAGCAGCTGGACAGAAGCAGGGTAGAAGGAGCCCTCAATAATCACATGCTTCACTAAACTATGTAAAAGTGCAAGCTTAAAGTAGTTTAGAGCAAGCATCTAGGACACTAAAGGCCATCTAGATACTTAAGCTTGGCCAGCACCGGGCCTTCATAATTCAGTTACTAATATTAGTTTAAACCACAGAGAAGACAGACAGCAGAATGAAAAAACATATGCAGCCCACTTCAAAAAAAGTTAGTTTTCAGTGACCAGCACGAAATATTAGCCCGATATCTTCAGCTTTACAATATATACATAAAAATATTTTGTTTTTACTTTTTATCACCTCAGAATAAAATTGTACTTTAAACATTATTCCCATAATGTGCCAACTCTTCCCTCTGTGCTGTGCCTGGCGGTACCAGTAATACAGAGAAGTCCTTTCACTGCTATGAAACTTTGGAGCTGATGTATAATTTGACACTTCATTCAGCCTCAAGGTTTGGAGAATTTCTTTATTCAGCCAGGCTAGGTGGTCACACATCATTGGCTAGTGCTCCTGGTCAGTGCTTCTTGGGAGGCTCCACGAGAAGGACTGGCCATATTCCAAAAATAAACTGTTAAAAGGCAAAGGGTTAGGGGGGAAGGAGGTGAGAAAATAAAAAGGATTTTCTTAGGATGTTATCTCTCAGAATAGCTATGAAATTACAGCCCTTCATTTTGCTCATGCTCCCTGGAATTCATCAAATCACAGAAAATGAGGGTTAAAGGGACCTCAGGAGGTCATCTGGTCCAACCCCTGCTCAGAGCAGGACCATCCCCAACCAGATCATCCCAGCCAAGGCTTTGTGTAGCCACGGCTTAAAAACCTCCAAGGATGGAGAATCCACAACCTCTCTGGGTAACCTGCTCCAGTGCTTTACTACCCTCCCTGTGAGAAAGTTTTCCCTAATGTCTAACCTAAACTTCCCTTGTTGCAACTTGAGCCCATTGCTCCTTGTTCTGTCATCTGCCCCCGCTGAGAACAGCCCAGCTCCATCCTCTTTGCAACCCCCCTGCAGGGAGGTGAAGGTTGCTATTAACCCTCTCAGTCTTCTCTTCACTAGACTAAATAAGCCCAGTTCCCTCAGCCTCTTCTCACAAGTCATGTTTTCCAGCCCTCTAATAATTTTTTCTGCCCTCCTCTGGATTCTCCAATGTGTCCACATCCTTTCTGTAGTGGGGGGCCCAAAACTGGACGCAGGACTCCAGATGTGGCCTCACCAGTGCTGGATAGAGGGGAAGAATCACTTCCCTTGACCTCTGGAAACACTCCTACCATTGCAGCCCAGTATGCTGCTAGCCTTCTTGGCAACAAGGGCACACTGCTGGCTCATTCAAGTCATACACAGGATGCAAGGTAATGATGCTACTAGGATTAGGGAGTATGGCCCCCGAGCCCAGAAATATCCTTGAGCTCAAGCCATGTGAACAGCTAACTGCACACTACATAAATATATACACTGTACTGATAGCTTACCTTTACTTTTGGTCTGTACTTCAGGAAGAGTGTCCTTGTGTATAAGCTGGGGGAAAAAATTCTTCTGTAAGAAGCACTGCTTTACCAAGTGCACTTAACAACCTAAGTGTCATGCAATAAACACGCTACAGTTGAGGTCTGCCCAGAGTTGAGGGGCACTGGTCACTGAGTGAATCCCATCCTCTCCCAAATCAGAAAGGCATGCTTCTGTAACTGAAGCTTTACTTGTTCTGCCTGGATTTAGGCAGCACAAGTAGGGCTCCAGGTCACAAGAGGTACCTGCGGATATGCTGCGGGGCTGCTCCGATGCACTGTAATTACAGCGCATCGGAGCAGACTTGAGTTCGCTGGAGTGTGGTAATCACCATGCTCCAGCAACCTCCCGCCTCTCGTGTATCAGTGTCCGCGTGCTTCAAAACAGCGAGAGGGTTGCTTGGACTAAAGCTGGTCGAATGTGGGGATGCTGATGTACAAGATGCTCTGGCGCTTTAATTAGAATGGCTCTAATTAAAGCACCTCCCCACCCCCAAAGCATGTGTAAAAGTGCCCAAGAGCACTAACTCATGGATCCTCACAGGAGTGAATGGCTAATACATGAACTTGGAACTGTTAGTCTTCCCCTCCCCAACAACTCTGCCCATATGGAAAGGGACAGAAGGAACTGGAAGAATATTCCCTCCTTGAGATTTCAAGGCAAGGGTGTAACAGGGAAAATGACTCGCTTTTTTTCTCCCTAATACTTCTATTACTCTAAGTGAAGCATTCCTTCCAAGCAATTCACGCCTAAAAGTTCCCCAAACTATGCCGCAAAGAAGCTTCCAAATCACAGAACCACTTGAGGGAAGAATGATTTCTTCTTTCTGATCACAATTAGTTTAGGTGGGCTCTCCTTAGCACATGGGGGGAAAAGTCTCTTTCTACCTTAACAGGATATGAAGGTAAGAGCCAAGGCCTGTTAGGATGTGCCACCACGCGTGGAATTGTGTCACAGCTCCCACAACAGGAGGCATCTTGTCTCGTACTGCCCTGTGGAAAGAAACACGGTGCAAGGCATGCTTTCCAAAGTGTGAAAATCGCAAATGGCAACATTTCCTTGCGAGAACACCCGGTGTTTTCTGAATCATATGCTTCAAGTGTCCAGCCTTTTGTAAATCAAGAACACTAGGGACTCCCATTTTCTTACACTTAGTTTAGAAGATGATTAGACTATGATTATAGTTGGGAAATTGCTCCCAGGTTTCTAGTACACAAAATAGCTCAGATAAAAAAAATACAGGTATAATATTAATACCACTAAAAAACCCTAAGGACTTTTATCACTCCCACCAAAAGCAATCAATGTTATGGCCTATGGGAAGGCACGATGAGGGTTTGAGCAAAGACATGAAATCCACCCTGCCTCATCTTAGTATGTTGGGGGCCACTTTACCCCATGCCATAGCTTCGCATAAGGTTTTTACTGCTTTTCTCTGCTCCCATGGTAAGACAACAGAATCAGTGACCTACTAAGCACCAAAGTCCCAAGCACAGCAGCTTCTGGGTATAAAGCTCAGCATGACTGTGTGCTAAAAGAGTCTCAATGGTAGGAAGCAGAGCTGAGTAGACAACTTGAAATACTCAGGCTAGCTGGGATAACTTTCAGAGTTGGGAGGCCAGGTGACTCGCATTATAAACTTTCAAAGAATAAAAATGACAAGCAAACATTTTTTCCCAGGCATTATACTAAACTACACCTGGAAACTAAAACTTCCAAGGATCTCCGACTAAACAGATATAATTAATGATAAAATAATACATTAGGCAGCACCACATCCATTGCGTGGCAGGAAATACGCCTACATTTTTCTTCCTTTTGCCAAACGGAATAGGAAGATGGTACTTCTAGCTAGTGATGTAAGCCTGGGAGTCTCAGGGTGTTTCCTAGTCCCACAAATTGCACACCTCTCCTAATTACTGGGCAGATTTCCCCAAGTGATGGAGTTGTGGTTATGATTTCATAAGGAATCACTGTGCCCAGAGAAGCAGTCTGTTCTGGTACTAATATCTCATGCACGGTCATCTGTGTTGACAAATTCATATCAGTAGCAGCTGTCAAGATTTACGGCATAAACCAGATCACATGAGTTGAGGCACACCTAGAGTGCCAAAAGAAATCCGTTGGGCCCAAGTTTCAACTTGTCCAACACATTAAACACAATCTAAACAGAGGCTGGAAGGAGGCACACAGCGCACCGGGCTACATCCCAAGTCAATCCAGCTACCTATCGGTGCAACGTTGTGAAAACTGCATTCAGCGGAGGCCTAGAGGGTGTGTGAGTTTGAAACAAGGAGAGCACGGGGGTCAACCAGGACCTTCTTGATGCTGGACGACTGGCAAAGATGAAGCCGCATCTTTCAAATTAACATGGCGTACTACTGCCAGGATGCACCAAAGGAGTCAGTGCTGTGGCATGGTGGCCCACTTTTTAGGGACCAAGCACCTTTATGTTGTGTCTTGCACGCATAGACTTGGCATCCAGCAACACAACCAGGCAGTGGCTTTCTATAAACTTTACTTTTTGCTGACTGCTCGGCTGACATGGCAACAGATTGAAGTTGAGGAACTGAAATTTTCAAGCATTAAGTCAAGACTTGCAAGCCCAGTATGATGCTTTGATGAAAATCTATGAAACAAATCAACTGCTAGTCACCCCGAGACATCCAGAAGAATGATTCCTATTTACTGGTGCTGGACATTTTTTGAACAGGCAGGATAGATTCTTTTGACGTTTTCCTGAGAAACAGGAGAGGAAGGGAGAAAAAGGGCCAAGCCAAGATCGAAGATAGTATAAAAAGTAATATAAAATTCTAGCGTGAGAAGTACAGACCCCAGGAAACAACAGGCCCTAAAACCACTTTGGTCACCATTTTTTTTGCCTTAAAGTTTAGAATGAGACTCAAAGATTATTATGATTATGCGTGCAAACTTCACAGTTCTGAATCCAGAACAGACAGAAACGGAGAACAAAACCCTTTCAGCATCAGCAGGGGAAAAAAAGGACCAGATGCTGTAAGGTCTAGAGGTCATTATGGCTCTGAAGAAGGAGTAACGTAGAGTATTGTCTAAGTGGAGCAGATGCCGTATGAATTTTAAACTATGTAAATCCCAGTCAGTCTCATAGCAGAGGTATAGATCTGGGGTGTCCTGTAACCAATCGTATCTGTGGAGAAAACTTTTACCAAGTGTTTTCACGTGCCTAATAAACACAGATAAAATTCTCATTCTGTAACAGAGGCACTTAAAACTATGCATCTCCACTAAAAATACTCCACATTCATCAACTTGGTACTGGAGAGTGAAGACAGACAGAAAAGGCAAGATATTTAGTCTCGTGTCTCAGGCTGCCAAATGCCAACTGCATTCCGATTTCAGAATTTCAGCACAGGGAAAATCATTTTTCACATCAAAAATAGTTAGAATATGAAGAAGCCTCAGAAGTCTATTTTGTTGCTGAAGCTCGTCAAGAGCAGACAGGAAAAAGCACCTGTGACTAGTCTGTGGGGAACGTATTGCTCACACATCAAGAGATGGACTTGAATTTATTTTGCAGAATAAAAAGCAAAGTCATGCAGTTAAAAATTAAAATCTATACAGAGAGTTGAAAATACTCACCTCAATTTATCACAGAAAATGTTGTCTACATTCCAAAGGAAAAATCCCATTAAAAATACAGTTAAGGATGTATAGCCCAGACCCCTAAGCCATGGGTATACCCTAGAGAGAGAGAAGGAAAATGAAATTTAGTTTAAAACACTTTCAAGGCAGTTTGGAACATTTCCAAGTTGTACTATTTATAAAGGAGCTGCTTGATAGGAAAAAAAATATTTACAGATCTTTAAAGGCAAACCATTATTCTGAAGTCCAATCACATTTTTAAAAGCAAGCAAGATTTGAAGCCCCCCTCCCCAGGTTTTGTCTGATTTTCCTCCTAGCCCATGTGAAAAACCTTGATACAGAAAGGAAAACAGTAAAACTGATTATACAAATGCATGGGTTAGGTTGACAGCTTCTTCTCTTTCTAATCCCTTTCAGTTAACTTTCAGTGGGCACATCTACACAAAACGTTTACTGTGGAGCTGACTAATTAGCTCCCCAGTAAAACATCACTGTCTACATGTGCGGTGCTATTAGGACAGAGTAAGCTAATTAACTCCGCTGTAGAATAGTACTGCCAGACACAAGTGCTATCCTACAGCAGAGTTATTTATTCTGCTGCAATGCACGTGGACACGCTGATGGGGCTGGCTGGGGCATGAGGTGCTTCAGCACTAGGGCTGCTTGCCATTTAGCCCTGCACCAAAGCTCATCTTGTGCCCCAGCCAGCCCCTCCACAGCATGCTGAGCTGGAGCAGCCCCAGGCTGGCAGGCTGACCCCCAGGGTCCCCCACCACTGCCCAACATGCTGCGGTCCCGGGCACACATGCAAATGTGGCACCCAGAAGCAATGAACTCCAGTGTGCTCTGCGTCAAAGTTTATTCAGCCGCATTAATTGCACAAGTAGATGCACCCAGAGTTCATTGTAAAAGCAATAGGTAAAATGTTTCAAGAGATGTATGTTATAGTCCTGTGTGAAATTTCACTGGGTGTTTCGTTTTGAAGCGTTTCGGGCTCAAAACAGTGAAATTGGAATGAAACAAAAGGCTTCAAAACAGATGCGAAACGAAACAAGGGCCCTCGAAAGGTTTGGAGTTTCGAAGCTGGGCTTGCTGCACTGCATGCTCCCGGATCTGTGCGCGGGATGACAGCGTGTTGCTGCTTCCTGGTGCTCGGCATGGGATGCACCCAGTGCTGGTGCCAGGCGGCAGCCTACTGTCATCCCGTGCACAGATCTGGGGGCCTGCGCCCCCCAGGCAGAATCTGGCATAGCCCTGCAGCCCTCCTGGGGGGCGCGGGTCCCCACACCTGTGCACAGGATGACACCAGGCTGCTGCTGCCAGCAAGTGATATGAGTTTTGCTGGTCAGTAATTTGAGGTGCAGTTTCCCAGAAACCCCTGCACCTATCTCCTTGAGCCCTGGCAGACTTCGTGCCCTCAGAAGGGGCTACCATCCCTGCAATTTTGATCCAAATCAGGCAAGAAGTGACAAAGTTATAGGCATTTTCATGATTTCCCATTATAGCCTATGGGCGAGACATTGAAACAGCAAAACAGTTTCAACGAAACAAAACGGAACAGTGCTTTGAAACGAAACGAAACACCGTCCCTTCGAAACGGAAATCGAAACGAAATGGTGCTGTTTCGCACAGCCCTAATGTGTTAAGTAGATTGTGTCCTCTTAAAATGCACAGATTAACATTATTTAAACTGCTTGATAAAATAACAGAGACCATGCACTAGCTCAGTGAATCATTTCAAAGTAATTTCAGAATGTGTTTTTACCACAAGAATCATTGAGGGGTGGGGATGGGAGTGGGGAACAAAACCAAAAACCTATTTAGGATACAAAAAAATAGGTGCTGAAGAACCAGAGTCATCACTAATAAACCCAATCTTACTGTTTGCATTCACGTGGAACCACAGAATCATTAACTTCTTAATGGAAGTGAAGGGAGTTCCTTTGCCAGCAGTAAGATGGCCTCCAAAATGCACAATTCCAAGCCAAAGAAGCTATACTGAAGTATAGGTCCTGTTATTCTTATCATGCATACACACTTTAAGATTCTGGTTTGAAAAGCTGTTATTTCTTTTAGTCTTTTGCATTAGTTTTGTCACACTGATTTATCACCTAATAAAGAGGCAGCAATATATCAAAGCACATATTCCTGCATCATGACAAATAGACAGGATTTCTTAAGCCATAAATAACACTTTCTGACAGCAGCGTTATTTATTAAAACACACATATTGGTATTGTGGAGACTGCTGATTAGTGGTAGATGTATAAGTGTGCAGTGCAGGGACAGATCCTCTCTCTAGGCAAACTCAGGACAAACACGGCATGCGTTTCACACTCATCCGCATTGGGAGCAGGTTCATTTCTAATTCGCACTTGTTTAATCCCATAAATACGTATGGCACTAAATCAGGCGAGCTGTGAAACAAATACAAAGTTCATGCCCCGAGGAGCTTACATTTCAGAGACAGCAGCAAGTCCAATATATGAAAGAAAAAGTGTCTTATGCCCTGGTAATTATAGCTTGAATAGCTTTTGGTTAGATGAGTGAGCTGTTTGATGCAGCAGTGACTCTGTGCCGTAAGTACGAGGGTGTGTAAAGGGAAGGCACAGTCACAATGTTGGACTGAGTGAGGAACAGCCGGGGAACAGGAGGTGGTGAGGGTCTGTACAGCGAGTGCGCTGCGACAGGTGGGAGCACAGATGAGCAGGACTCTGGAAACAAGAAGGTTTACTTCCACACAGGTTCTTATACTGAGCTCATCAGCACAACTTCTGAATGCCTTCCAGTAGTGACTAACCATCCAGCATGACTAACCATCTGTCATGGGACTGACCTGTAGCCACAAGCAGAAAGCAAGACAAAACAGAAACCCAAGGAAGAGGTAGACAATTTGAGTAATGGAAAAGGAGGATCCTGGTAGATGGGTTTAAGAAAAGAAGATAGAGAGAGAGGGAGCTAGGAAAGAAAGGGTGGGCAGCTTTGTGGCTAAGGCACTGGACCAGGGCTTGAGGCAGTTCATTTCCCAGCTCTGCTGGTGTCACTCTGGGTGGCTTCAGGGAAGTCACATGTGCCCAGACACACACAAGCATTCTGGTGCCTAATTCAGCACTGATTAAATAGGATTTAGGAGCCTAAATATCTTTGTCAATCTGGGTCTTTGCTTTGTAGAAACTATTTTTCTGTACAGTGAACACAATGCTTGCTTTCTCCTTCCTTTGCCTTGGATCAGGGACTGTGCCATACTACATGTGTGCACGCTATGCATCACAAAGACGACCTTATCTCTGGTGGGGCCTCCATGTGCTATTGCAACAATAAAGAGGAAGAGGAGGAGGTTGTACAGTCAAGACTGGACATGATAAAAGCTTGGAGCAGTGTACCAATGACGTGAATGGAAAGGAAGGGGAACACCTGGTGAAGTAGGGAAAATACAGGAATTTGCAAAAGAGAAAAAAGAGAATGAATGCTATCCAGTTGCAAGCCTGACTGACAAGGAGAATGACAGTGTGACTGACAGCAAGATGAGGTGAGAGAAAGAGAGGTTTGCTTAAGTCATTTTAACTAACAGCCCCACTGGGAAATGGTGCCATATGCCACAGAAAATGATGGAAGGACTGGCAGAGTCGTGGAGTCTGCAGGGATAGAAGGATAGTATCTCTTTGGGCTCAGGACACTCAGGAAAATTAATCTTTATTAATTAAGAAAGTGAATGAAATAAGTCGTGTTGAGCAAGAGTTGAGTAAGAGTGCCTGCACAGGGATTTGAGATTGTTTAATTAACCCACTTTAAGGCCACACCCTTAGTGAAGGCTAATCAACTTTCCTGAGTGTCCTCAAGTCCTAAAGTAATGAAATTATACAACCAAACCCGAAGGTAGGAAATTTAAGATCGCGTAATCGTCAGATGAAAGGCAATATGTGAACCTACAAGGAAAGATCACTCAAGAAGGAGAGAGACAGGGCCAGGTTGGCAACTGAGCCCATGATACCTAAATTAGCATATGAATTCAAACTTTCTTCTTCTTTCTTTGCAACTCTTTGCACTAATATTACTTGGTTCTTTCAGAAATATCTGACAGCAATTCTTTCAGTTTGAAAAAAACCCAACACATTTTCCAACTTCTAGTACATCAAAATCTGCTCACTAATGTCTGAAATTTTACTCTTCAACTGATCAAGTACTTTACAGTCTAATCTTTAGTGCTGGCCTGGAGAGGAGGAAAAATGTTCTCTGAAGCTGCACAGTTGCTACTATTATCGTTTGGGCAGCATCAGTACTCCTAGCACCATATAGAATAGGAGAAAACTACAATCCCTTTGTTTCAAGGAACTTAGTCTGAAACTATCTCCAGACAAGCTGGCAACAGACACTACATCTGCTACATGTTTGTTCAAAAAAGCGCATGCTGACCTCAATCAAATGTCTTTATGGGAAAACAGGAACCAGACAATTTCCACGAGACAGAGCATGTGACCCTGTATCACTTTATTTAGAGAAGTGATCGGTAATGCGCACAGCCCTGTCGAATGCAAATGCCAAGTGAGAACATGCATCTTGTCAGGCTGAACTAAGCCAGTCACTTACCATAACACTATATATACAGACCGCATGACTACCACAGAGACCAGCGTTCCATACATGATCTGAAGAAAAGTAGAGAAAAAAGAAAATCAGTATTAGTGTTTAGACAGATACTACCCAATACAATAGATATAAAGCAAGCATTATTATTTGGTCATAAAATATGCAAACAAAAATTATTGGTTAGTCCCCTATAATATTTGTACTGATCTATTCAAACCATTTTGACGATTCTTTGTTCTCAAGAAAATAAATTTCCCTCCTGTAATTACTTTCCTGATACCACCACACGACAAACATTTAAAATACCATTAAATCCATTAGGACTGGGCAAAATTTCGTTGGGTGTTTCATTTCAAAGCTGGTTGGATGCATTTCGAGCTCGAAACAGCAAAATCGAAATGAAACAAAAGGCTTCAAAAAACCTTTTGAAACGAAACGAGGGCACTCGAAACGTTTCAAAAGTTTCAAAATGTTTTGAGTTTTGAAGCCGGGCTTGCTGCAGCGCAGGTCCCCAAATCTGTGCCTGGGATGACAGCACGCTACCACTGCTGGCTGGGGTCAGCAGCAGCACCAGGCTTCCCGGCGCTCGGCGTGGGCTGTGTGCCAGCTGGCAGTGGCAGCCTGCTGTCATCTCATGCGCGGATCTGGGGGCCCGTACCCATTGGGAGGAGTCTGGCAGAGCCCCGCAGCCCGCCTGGGGGGTGCAGGCCCCCAGATCTGCATGCGGGATGACAGCAGGCTGCCAATGCCAGCAAGTGATACAAGTTGTGCTTGTCAGCAGTTTGAGGTGTAATTTCCCAGAAACCTCTCCACTCATCTCCTTGAAATTTGGCAGGTTTCATGCCCTCAGAAAGCGCTACCAGTCCTGCAATTTTCATCCAAATCAGGCATGAAATGACAAAGTTATAGGCATTTTCATGATTCTCCATTATAGCCTATGGGTGAAACATGTTGAAACAGTTTCGACGAAATGAAACAACAAAACGAAACACTGTCCCCGCGGAACGGCGAAACGGCAATCGAAATGAAACGAAACGGTGCTGTTTCACAGAGCCCTAATATCCATGTATAAATATTGGAGCAATTTAGACCCCTTTGTTGGGAGATCCAAAAATCCAGAATTGTGGCACACATCAGAATTAAAAGCAAATACTAGGTGGCACAACTAGTTAGCATCCAGAAGTTAAATTGCAATTAGGAGTAAGTCATCATGTTGTTCCTTTTGTATCTATGCATTTTAATCTAGAGCTGTACAAACTATGGTGGCCTTGGACAATGACTCAATTAACAACGGTTTCACAGAGACATTTGGAACTATGTTACTGCGTGGTATTACTGAAAATAGAAATCAAAACAGATCTCCACGTGCTCATCGTTTGGCAAAACCAAACTGGCACCTTCTGGTTAGCAATCTAAGGCAGTGGTTCTCAACCTCTGGTACCTTAAGTACCCCTTGCCGATCGACACGGCAAAAGCAAAACCGGAAGTCCCACTGTGGCACTTCTGGTTTTGCGGCCACGAGCTGAGTCCCACTTTTCCCACCGTGGCCTGGGGCAAAGCAGCCTGTGCGGGGCCTCCCTCGCTATCCCCTAGCACACTGATGCTGGGGAGTGAAAGCCTCGGCGCTCCGGACACGGCGGGAGGGGTGGTGGCCGAAACTTCTGGCCTGAGCAGGCAAAGACCAAAACGCAGCACCCATGTACCCCCGGCCTGTGTCTTGTGTACCCCCAGGGGTATGCGTACCACGGGTTGAGAAACACTAATCTAAGGGATGCATGGCATAATGTTCAGGGTAGGCTTCAAACTCATGATGTGGTGCTTCCTGAACAGATGAACACCACAAAATCAAGCGGAACTAGGAGTTACAGTGGATAACTATAGTGGGGCAAGTGGGATTCTCCAGCCTGTCTAATGCAGGAGGTCAAACTAATCATCTTCCTGGCCTAGAAGTTTACAAATCGAGGACCACGTACTCAGCTGAAGTCATATGCAGCATCTCCTTCCTGCTCCTCAGCCATGTGGGAAGTGGAAAGAAAGGAAAACTCAAGGAGGAAACAACTAGTCATAGCAACTGAAGCAGGCGCACAACCGCAATAGCAGCAAGAAAATTCAGACAAGGCTGAAGGCAGAGGAGGTAGTGATCCTGCTGACCACATTTTACACGTTTGCTTGGTACTTACAGCACTTGCTAGAGAATGGGAGGTCAGGATCTGAACCCACTCCCTGAAGAGTATCCTAACCACCAAGCTTAGGGAAGGCCAGGGTGGGGACTGCCTCTCTCTCTCCTGCTGAAGCAAGCCCACTGCGCACCCAAGACTGCAAATTCACGTGACCAGAGAGAAAAGCGAGCAGGAGGCTACACCTCTGAGGGCACTCAACTGGGATTGGGGGGTCCTGGGTTCTAGTCCGTGCTCCCAATGTTGTTTTATGGATTTTGTAATGCAAAATGCTCAAAGCAGGTACCAGTACCCAGGTCTTCCTCCTCCCAGGTGAAGACGCTCATTACTTGAGCTCGGGTCAGGCTCCCTCTCGTGCATTCCCCTCCTGGAGTTCTTAGCTGAAAGGTGACCTATACCCTGGTATTTAGGACCCATCTAAGTGGGAGTTTAACCCCAGTTTCCCAGGCAGGCACAGAACCTGGGGTCACCACTTCTTGGTGTATTTTAACAAAGAGAGCAAACCACTTGTTCACCCCCAAAGGGATGGAGAGGGGACTTCAGACTGAACCTTGGCTTCATACAACCATCTATTACCTGCAGTCAGGTGCTTCAGTGTGGGACAGAGGCAAGACTTCACACATGCTCTCTTCAACACGTCCTACTGGCTGGCTTCAGTGTCCCCTATGCTGCATCTCCTCATCCCAGGCACTAAACTCACCATTTCCCATAAAGGCGGGGAGTTTATGAATTCCCAGCACCTAGAAATGATGTGTGGTGACACTCCGTGTTACCTCTCCAAGTCCCTTTCGAGACCGTACCCGTGCGAGACTAAAACTGTTAGGATCTGTCACTGCTGTGTGTGCTGCAGAGCTAAGGGAAGCTATTCAAAAAGCTTTCCTTAGTTTGGCCTGTGCATTAAACAGGTTTCCAATTAAATGCCATTTACATTCATTATACACAATTTGTAATCCAGAAAGAACCTAGGTCAACAGGGTAGGATTACTGAGCTGTTATTAACACCGAGCTAAAGAAAGAGCTTTGTTTGCAGGCGGCATGCTGCGAGGAACGCCAGCATCGCCTGATGCAATCCGCACCCTGGTTGAGAGGTCGAGTCCTCCTGCGAGGAGATTCCCTCTCTCAGCATTACCCCTGTGCTCTTTTAGTATTTCCAGGAATTAAACAGCACTTCTCACCCTCACCTCAACTCTGACTTAGAACGACCTGTTCTGCTTTGCTATTCAAATCAAGAGATCTCTTCTAAAAAGGCACAAAACGTACAGAGGAAGAGGCTGTATGTAAAAGGACTCCTGTGGAACCAATAGGTTCTTTTCAACATTCAGCTCAGTGGTCAGGAAGGTTTTGAGGCCACTGACTGGATCAATCTGGCTCGGCTCGCAGGCAGGCAGGCAGGCTAGCGCTCCCAAACTGGCCTGCCGCTTCTTCCCAAGGCCCATCTACGGTGCAGCCTGTGCAGACCCTCTCCACCACCCCTGCTTGGCTGTGGCACACGCAGAGCCCTGTCTCTTTCCCACCTGGTTGCACTGCATGCAGCCCTGCTTCTCTCCCTGCCTGGCTGTGGCACAGTGTGATGCATGCAGGGACCGCCACCACTCTACACACATGTAACAGGGGCTCAGGCAGAAGCCCTGTTACTAGGGTAGCCATGGGAGCGGGTAACTATGGGGCGCACACTACACAGGTGGGGGGAGTTACACATCCGGGGAAGATCAGGGTAATTAGCCCTCCGCTGTCTGCATAAGCCCGGTAGCGAGGGAACACACTTTGCCCTTAGGCACTGGAGGAGGAGGAGGAGACTGCTGAGAAAGAAGAGAGGAAGAGAAATGGCATCCCGAGGAGAGCCAGGGACTGCTGATACGGAAGCACTGCAGCAAACTGATAAGGAGTTGGGCCACTTACCCGAGGCCCGTGGATGGCATGGGCCACCCAGGGAGGACCTGGGGCTCCTGGACAGCAAGGTGCCAAGAAAACCCCCGAGGCAGAGGGTTTCAGGGTGGCGTGCGGAGGGCAAAAGCCATGTGGGGCTGTCCGCCACACCGGGCAGCTAAGGACTGCAACAGGTTCACTTTTGGACACGGGGAGACGGTAGCGGAGACACTTCCCTGCTTGATGCCAATAGATACATTAGAGACACTCCCCGATAATGAGTTAATTGGCGGGGCGAAGATGTTGCTTGGCTCGGAGTAGACTAACGCAGCCAGGACACTCCCTGATTTCAGAAGTTATTAGAGCGGCTGTATTACTTCCCTCGCTAATGAAGTAAGTAGCGAGGCGGAAACGACAATGTAACCCTGTTAAGAATACAGCAAGCACTGGGAAGCTAACCATCTGAGTGGTCTGTGGTGTCTTCTCACCCTCAAGGAGTAACACTGAGCATCTTTTCCTTTCAATCAAAGTCGTGGCAGGAAAGTTCTGAGGGCAACTGAGATAGACTCAGCCACCCTCTCACACAAAGAACCGCCTTCTCCCTGGAGGTTGCAAGCAAAGCCCCATCGGCCGTAGGTTGCCGACCCCAACTTAGCTTTTGCTTTCTTCTCCCTACAGTTCCCCCTTTCAGAAATGCTATTCCGTTTTGGCATGGATGGGTCTTCCTCTTAAATCAAAACAGACCTCCATCGTACTTGTTACGACCAACTTCAAGCTTCTCTCTTGGCCAACTTCAAGCTTCTATCACGTAACCAACTCACACCAGCTCTTTGACAGTGATGAAACAGGCTTTGATCCTGTCTAGAGAGACACCTGGCTGAGAGCCAGGCCACAGTCTAGGTACAATACTGGCAAGAAGGTCACTCTTTGTAGCAGCTGCTTATGACTGAATCAGTCAGTCAGTGGCTTGCATTTTTCCTTCATCATCACTATTGTCCAACCCTTGGGCACAAGGA